GCCCATTGCAGGAGAAGGGCCAGGAGATGTGCACCCACATGTATACCACTTTCGTGGATCTATCGAAACAGTTTGACACGGTGAATCGATCTGGACTTTATAAAATCATGCAAAAGTTCGAACTTCCCGAACACTTCACCCGTACGGTATGTCAGCTCTACGACGGGATGATAGTTCTCGTCACGGACGACGGAATGGTTCCCGAAGCCTTTGCAGTTACCAATGGTGTAAAGCAGGGCTGTGTCCTCTCACCTACCCTCTTGAGTCTCATGTTCTCTGCCATGCTGACGGACGCCTACCGTGACGGGCGTCCAGGGATTCCCATCAACTACAGAACGGACGGACACCTTTTCAAGATTCGACTCATGCAGGCCCCCACGCGCGTCTTCACGACCACAGTTCATGATATGCTGTTCGCGGACAACTGCACTCTCAACACCACAACCTAAGTGGGTACGCAAATGAGTACGGTTCTCTTCGCCGCAGGATGAGCAAGATTCGTTCTCACCATCAACACAGAAAAAACGGTGGTCAAGCACCAACCGCCGCCGGGTGCTTGCTACAATGCTCCACGCATCAACTTCAACGGTGCCGAGCTCAAGAACGTGGACAACTTCTCCTATCTCGGCAGCACGCTATCCCGCAACACTCGAATCGACGACGAGGTTGCTTTACGGATCTCCGAAGCCAGCCAATTCTTTTGGCTGGCTTCGAGCCACTCTATGGAATCGTCAAAATCTCCAGCTGTCAACGAAACTGAAGATGGACAAGGCCATCGTACACACAACACTCTTGCACGGAACGGAGGCTTGGACTGTATACGCCAACCAAGCCCGGAGGTTAAATCATTTCTATCTCCGCTGTCTCCGCCGAATACTGAAGGTACGATGGCAAGATAGGATCCCGGTCACGGAAGTCCTGAGCAACCAGACCATACTCAGGCAGATCCAACTGTGCTGAAGCTGTCACGTGGTACGGATGGACGACCAATGACCTACCAAGCGACATTTTTACGTAGATGTCGCTGTAGGTGCTCGTCTCAAAGGGGGACGAAAGAGGCGCTCCAAGGACACTCTGATGAACTCGCTGAAGCGCCTCCAAATCAAAACGGCGACCTGGGAGGAACTCGCGCAGCACCGACCTACATGGCGAAGAAAGATAAAAACTGGCGCAGCAATCTACGAAGCCAGTCGGATTGTCGCCACCAAGGCAAATCGGACGGCTCGTAAGTCTTATGGTTGCCTCTGGCCTGTGTGCGACACACACAACCTTAAGCTCAGCCTATGAATACTATCGTTCGAAGCAGCTACATAGTATTAGATCTGTAGTGGTCACAGATCTAAGGCAAACCCAACCTTTATATTAACCACTTAGAGCCGTCTGCATTACATTCGCTGCACGCTGCCCGACGTGATTTAGTTGTTTATTTCATCACGACATGCAGCTCGGACTAATCGATATCGCGCGAGCCCAGCATGCATTGCTAATATAAGCTGAAAGGTAAGCTGATTTCTTGTTCTTTCGTTTCGCTCTCCTTGTTTCCTCTCTCGTTTCCTTGTTCGTTCCCTTTCTCGTTCTCCCTCCGTATCTTTCCTTCATTTCCTCGTTGTTATCTTCGCTATCCTTCTCCTTCTCCCCCGTTTCTTCGCTCTTTCCCCTTCCCCCTTTGTCTCTCTCTTACTCTCCCAATGCACAGCCTACTCTGCCATGCTCATCTCCGATCTGTTTTCCTTTTCAGCGCTGCGCCCATCCCACCTCAGGCGACCAACAGTTAGGTGGTGGCCTGCTGCTGGGGGTGCGGGAGAGAGCGGGGTGGACCCTCAGACACCGCAGCCGGTCCAGTGTGTATTGTTGTGTGAAGTGGTTGTCTGCGGGCTGAGAGTCAGATGTGGCCTGTATGGAGTTCCCTGTCGGGAGCCTATCTAGCCAGATGTGCTGTTGGTACGCGTGTTGAGTGATGCTCGCGCCAGCCATCTGCTCCCTCTCGCATCTACTACCTCTTGAATCCCTCTTGACAATCGCTTCCCGGTGTGGGAGTGATCAGAGAGCGTGAAGAAGTTCTCTGCGAATCTGTTTCGCTTTTTATCTCGCTAAAGTCACCACGTTGCTTCAACTCCTTGTAGCTCGTAGTAGATATCGTTAAAATCAGCGTTCGAATTGTCGTGTGTTAAAGCTCTGAGTTCGAACTCTCAATCGCAAATTGGTTTCCGTTCTGAGTGCACAAGATATGACACAGTGCACCGACTAATTAGATTTTAACGAACCTCCGGAGCTTTTTTGTAAAAAATCTAACCTGTCATGTATTAATGTTGATGCGATTAACACAAGTGAGAGAAATATGGCGACTGAGTTGGCTAGAGCGTTACCTGTACTAAAGACTTTCCTACTGCCCTGGCCTCTTATCCCACCCAGGCTGCCGAAGTTTTTACAATTGGATCAATTGAATTATTCAAGTGTGCCAAACCCCTCCCAGGCATTATCAACGTTGCCCTTAAAATGTACGACATAGTCCGCATTAATTGAAATATCTTATGAAAACTATGTAATCTCTTCCTTATAACCGAGATAAATATGTGAGTCTCGTTAGCATGTATGCAGTAAGTGGTTTGGAAACCTTCACTTCGTTCCTGTTTTCGTTCTCAGTCTTGTTTTCTCTCTCTCTTTTATTTCTTTCTTCAGTTCTCCTTTCTCACTTTCTCTCTCTCCTTCCCTCGTTCTCTTCCTCCTTTCCTCTTCCCTTGCACAACTTGCCCCGCAATGCTCAACGCCGACTTTTCTTCCCTTCTAGCACTGCGCCCATCCCACCTCAGGCGGCCGATCAGCTAGGCGGTGGCCTGTTGCTGGCAGTGTGGAAGATAATTAGGTCGACCCTCTGTGCACTTCTTTCCTTAATAGAAACAACCCGATGCATTTGAACCTATCACGGTGCGCCAACTGCTGTGGATTGTACGGTTGGCAACTGACGGGATAACCTGGAAACCATAGTCGGTAGTTTGTTGTGTGGAGTGGCTAACTGCGGGCTGAGAGTCAGGCTCAATGGCTCCTTCATAATGTGACCTTTATGGTTCTCCCTGTCGAGAGCCTACCTAGTGACATCGCATTCTGGTGTGAGAGTGGTGAGTGAGTGGGGTAGATTCTCCGCAAGCTTACTTTCACATTAATCCTCCGGTAGTCACCCCGTTGCTTCAGCCTGCTGAGGCCCCTTGGGGTATCGCCGAGCGCTACCGTCGAAATGTCGTGTGCGTGTGGGTTAAATTCCTTATGTGAGACCCTCTTTTTGCTGATCCCGCACTCTCAATCGCATACGGGTTTTCGTGCGATGCTCACAACATAAGACACAGTGCACCAACTAATGAGATTTCCACGACCCTCGAGAGTTCTTTCCATACAAAATCTGATCTGTCAGTTTGTTAACGTTAATGCACTCGACACGGGTAGGACGATTTGGCGACTCAGTTAGCTAGGGCGTTGGTTGTACTAAGGCCTTCCCTTGCTGCCCCGGGTTTTAATCCCACCCAGGTTGCCGAAGTTTTTATAATTGGATCGAGTGCATTATTCAAGTCTACCAGGCCCCTTGTTTCGTCTCTTTACTTCTCCGTAGTATCCAGCAGCCACGCGTACGCCGAAACCAGTGGTAAATCTATCAAAATGGTACGGTACTAAAGTAGTTACCGGTTATTAAGCCCACGGTTAATAGGCCCAGCCGCTTATTTAGCCCAATTT